AAAAATGAAAATTGAAATAAAGACCTTTTAGACAAACAAAAGCAAAGAGAATCCATCTCCAGCAGAACAACACTTTAAGAAATGTTGAAGGAAATTCTTCCAGCAAAAGGAAGAATTTTCATGATACTACATGAAAATTCAGGTCTACTCAAAGGAATAAATAAATAACAGACAAAATGGTAAATGTATAGGTAAATAAAAATATTTTTTCTCATTTTTATTAAGTTCTTTTCTTAAAAGATAATTGATGATTTAAAGCAAATATAACTATTTTGTGAGCTTTTGTACCTATGTCTAAGTAAAATATATGACAACAGTAGCACAAAACACTGTAGGAATAAAACAAAAATATAATATTTTATGTTTCTTACACAACGTGTGAAATGCTAAATATTATTTGAGAGTCGATAGTGATGAGTTATATAGTAACTCCTATAGCAACAACTATTTTTAAAACTGCATAGCTAATAAGCCAACAATGGAGCAAAAAAGAATTATAAAAAATAATAAATCCATAAGAAGGCAGGAAATGGAAAGGGTAGGAGGAACAAATGTATCAAATAGAAAACAAATAGCAGTATGATAAATAATCAAAATTATATCAATAATCACATAGCCTAAACATTCCAGTTGAAAGGTGCAAATTTTAGATTTAATAAAAAAGTAAAATTCAACTATATGCCCTCCCTCTTAAAAAAAAACTCACTTTAAATATAAAGACATGAAGTAAAAAATAGAAAAAATATATGTCATGAAAATACTAATAAAAAATAAAGAAACAAAGACCATCAGAGAAGCATATTGCAGAGAAAAGAATAGGACAAAGAAGGATACTGTTATAAAAAAAAAATTCAATTTATCAAAATGACATGAAATGTCTAAATGTATATAACCTAATAACAGAGCTTCAAAAATAAAGCAAAAACAGATAGAACTGAGAGAAGTTTCAAATCCACAATTATAGTTGAACATTTCAATATCCCTATGTAAATAATTAATAGAACAAAACATGTAAAATTGATGACAGTTTTGAAGACATGAACAACATTAAACCATATAACCAAATTGATACTAATAGAGCACTTCAACAAACAGCAGCATACATATTCATTTCAAATTCACGTGGACTATTTACCCAAATATACCATGTTATGTGCCATAATATAATTCTAAATGAATTTTAAAAGATTGAAACTAGAAAAAGTGTGATTTCAAACACAATGGAATTAAATTAGAAAGTAACAGAAAAATGTCTGGAAAATCCCCCAAATATTTGAAAGTTAAACAACACATTTATAAATACTTGCGGTCAAGGAAGAATTCACAAGGCAAATTACAAAACATTTTGAAATAAATAAAAACTAAAATATGCAATATCAAAATGTGTGACATGCAGCTCAAGCAGTGCTTAAAGGATATATTGCAGCATTGTACACTACTATAAGAAAAGAAAGTCTCAAATTAATGATCATAGTTTTTTGCATTAAGATAAAAAGTGAAAACCAAAACAAGCTGAATAAAGAAAAAACTGAAAACCAATATCTCTCATGAATACAGATGCCAAAATCACTGATAAATTATAAGCAAATTGAATCTAATAATATATAAAAAGGATACTTACTATATCATAGCCAAATGGACTCTATTCCAGAAATGCAAGACCAGTTCAACATTTTAAAATTTGTTATATCAAAAAAAGTACATCTTAATACACAAAAAGAATTAAGAATTTGATAAAATTTAAAATATATCATGATAAAAACTTTTATCAAACTAGGAATTATAGAGAACTTCCTCAACCTGATAAAGAGCATCTGTAAAAATTTATGTGATAGCAAAATATAAATGTTTTCTTTTTAACATTAAGAACAAGACAAGAATGTCCACTTATAACACTCTCATTAAACATAATATTAGAAGTCCTAGACACTGAATGAGGCAAGGAAAAGATACAAAAGACATACAAATTGGAAAAGAAGAAAGAAAAATATCTATACTCCAGAGAGCATGATAGTTTATGCATTCAATTCCAAGGAACCTACCAAAATGATATTATATCTAATAAGTGAGTTATACAATATCACAAGATTTAAGATCCAGTCACAAATTACAATTGCATGCCTATAAGCTAAGAAATATTGAAAATCAGATTTTTAAAAATATATTATTTACTAACACACTTAGTGTCCAGATTTTATTTCTAATATCATTCTTCAGTGAAAGGAACTAAGGCTCCTTAGAGAAAAGGCATATTCTAGGACAGGGACAAGGAATATACAAGATGAGCCTGGATAATTTTGTAGTGTCAGAAAATAAAGAAGTGCTCAAACTAAATCAAAACAAAAATACACAATGATAGGATTATGCAAAGCAACATGGAAGCCAAATGAAAGAGCTCCCAAACAACTGAAGCTGGGACAATTTAAGCAACAAAATAAAGTAGTATTGGATTATAACCCAGAGTATAAAATAAATACCCATGAGTCCATGCTGATATAAATACATGGCTTAATAAACAATCAAACCACAGAAAATCTCCAGTGCAAAAAAATTCCAAATAATTTATGTTTATACTCTGCTCTTAAAAAGGTGGACTATAACTCCTCCACACCTTAAATGTGGTCTGCACACAGTGACTTCCTTCCAAAAAGTGCATTATAGAAGGGGAGAAATTAGAGTAACTTTACACTGGAAAACCTCGCAAACACTACCCTAATCATGTGATCAAGATAAACATCAACAGTATTAGGTCAAAATAATACTATGTAGCTTTGAAATGAAGTGATGAAAATGAACTTTATTTCTGCGATCTTCCTCCCCAGTAATCCCAGTTTCATCATGAGAAAAACATCTCACAAATCTCAGTTAAGGAATATTCTACAAAATACCTGACCACTAGTCTTAAAACCCATCAAGGTTGTGCTAGTTTTGGCAGCACATATACTAAAATTGGAACGATACAGAGAAGATAATCATGGCCCCTGCACAAAGATGACACTCAAATTAGTGAAGCGTTCCATGTTTTTCATGTACTTGCCAGCAAATTGGTTTTGCTGATCAACACCTATGTGTACATATAGGAATAACATTTATCGGGCATTGCCTAGATGGGAGGCGGGAGGAGGGGATGGGTATATACATGCATAATGAGTGCAATACGCCCCGTCTGGGGGATGGACACGCTTGATGCTATGACTGGGGGGGGGGAGCAAGGCAACACAGGTAACCTAAACATTTGTACCCCCATAATATGCTAAAATAAAAAAAAAATCAAGGTCATCAAAAACAAGGAAAGTCTTAGAAACTGTCACAAACGAGGAATCTAAGAAGACACGATGACTATGTGGCATCCTAGATGAGATTCTGGAATACAAAAGGAACATTAGGTAAAAACAGTAAATCTCAATAAAGTGTGGCTTTAGTTAATAATAACCTATCAATATTGGCTTATTAACTCTAATAAATATACCACATTAATGTAAGATGTTAATAATTTGGGAAACTGGATGTAGAATATAGAGAAAATATACTATCTTCATAATTTTTTAGTAAATCTAAAACTGTTTCAAAACTAGTTTTGTTTTAAAAAAATACCCTTTATAATAGCATCAAAAATATGATAATATACTGGATATTTACCCAAAGGAAAAAAAGACATTTTATAAAAAGGACACCTGGAGTCGAATGTTTGTATCAGTACAATTCACAATTGCAAAGATGTGGAAACAACAATTGATGGGCAACCAAGTGCCCATCAATACATGAGTGGATTAAGAAAATGTGGTATATGTATACCATGGTGTAATACTCAGCCATAAAAAAAAAAAAGATTGAACTAATACCTCTTGTATCAACCTGGATGAAACTGGAGACCATTCTTCTTAATGAAGTATCACAAGAATGGAAAAATAAGCACCACATGTGCTCGCCATTGAATTGAAACTAATCAATCAACGCTTATGTGCACATACAGAAATAACATTCATTGGAATTCAAGCAGGTGGGAGGAGGGAGAAGGGGATAGGTAAATTCATACCTAATGGGTATAATGCACACTATCTAGGGGATGGCACACTTATAACTTTGACTCAAATGGTACAAAAGCAATTTATGTAGCCAAAAAGTTTATACCCCTGTAATATTCTAAAATATTCTAAAATTTAAAAATATGATATTTAACAAAATATGCATAAGAGCTATACCCTAAAAACTACAAAACATTACTAAAAGTGAACAAAGAATACTTGAATAGATGGGGAGGTAAAGCACATTCATGCATCAGAAGACTCAATATTTTTAAGATAATTTCCCACCAACTTACATAAATTCAATGCAATTCAAACTCTCATCGGGCTTTGTTTTTTCCAAAATTGACAATCTCATTACAAAATTTGCATAGACAGGCCAAAACAAGCTGGGAAAAGAACAAAGTTGGAGGACACATACTCAAAGGATTTTAAGATTTACTTTACCATTTTAGCAATCAAAACAGCATAATATAGTATAAAAATAGATAAGCAAAGGAAATGAACGGAGAGTTTAGAAACAGACATGCAGATATGTGGCCAATTGATTTTCAACAAGGGTGTGAAGGTTATTCAGTTGGGAAACAATAATCTTTTCAACAAATTTTGCTTGAACAATTCTACATTCAAGGTAAAAAAAAATAAATAACCTCAAACTTTACTTCATGCTATGTACAAAACACGCCTTCTTTCCCTTCTTCAGGCATGAGTAAAAGCTTCCTGAGGCCCTAACCAGAAGGAGCTTCTGGTCTCGTGGTTTTTATACAGGCTGCAGAACTGTGACCCAAATTAACCTCTTTTCTTTATAAATTACCCAGCCTTAGGTATTTTTTTATAGTAATGCAAACAGACTAAGATGACATGTTCTCTCATTTGTTGCTCGTAATAAGCCAATTAGATAGAATTTACAACTTCTCTATTTTGGGGCAAGAAACTGCAATTTCAAGACATTAAGTGACCCCCAATTTCTCATACCTGGCAATGGATGGCTCTGGAATTTAGGCCAATTATCCAATCTCAGAACTGTGTGCTCTTCGGACCACAGTGCACTAGGCAGAGACAGTAAGAATAGGGATTAAATATACCTTTTGTTTCTTAGAATTTTTTCCCTGGCATTTCTCCAGGCACAAGACATTAAAGGGCTATGCAGTTCTTCATGTTCACTTTTAGAGTTAGGTAAGATCAATGATATATTTTATAGACTTACTTCACTTTTATCCCGTGACAAGATGAAGTTAACAAACCAGCAAACCACTGATTGAATACAGGCAGAAAGAAATAACATCTGAAAATGAAATTCCCTCTTGCTTTCTCCTGTTATTTATTTCAAAAAGTTTTATTAAAGGGGCGAGAGAAAGCCACAGACTTCAAAAAAAAACCTGCTCACAGGTATAGAAAAGGCTAATGTAAAAGAATGAAAAAGGCCGGGCGCCGTGGCTCACGCCTGTAATCCTAGCTCTCTGGGAGGCCGAGGCGGGCGGATTGCTCAAGGTCAGGAGTTCGAAACCAGCCTGAGCAAGAGCGAGACCCCGTCTCTACTATAAACAGAAAGAAATTAATTGGCCAACTAATATATATAGAAAAAATTAGCCGGGCATGGTGGTGCATGCCTGTAGTCCCAGCTACTCGGGAGGCTGAGGCAGCAGAATCGCTTGAGCCCAGGAGTTTGAGGTTGCTGTGAGCTAGGCTGACGCCACGGCACTCACTCTAGCCTGGGTAACAAAGTGAGACTCTGTCTCAAAAAAAAAAAAAAAGGCAAACTATGGGTCATTCAACTAATCCATTAAATTGGCATGTCTCTTCATTGACTAGCCAATAAAACACAAAACTTATTTCATGACTCTATCATTTTCAAATTTTTCAATTGAAAAGGACAGAAATTTCCCCTTCAGTGGAAAAATAAGGCTCTTCATTTCTGTGTAATTTTAAATTAATTTTGGAGCTACATAGAAAGAGTCATTTATTTAAGCACCATTAGCAAGATGCCCTCATGGAGAAAGATGGAAAGAATTCTTAAGGTATTACCTTTTTCCTCCAACTAGCTGGCTGGCTGTCCTTGGAGAGAGCAAGCTCAGCACCTTGGGTCTCCATCTGTAAAATGAGTTAATATTCACTTCACAGAAGTATGAGGGGACAGAGGCATTAATAAGCATCTAAGCAATTGTAGGCCTGGCAGCAAAGCACTGGTATCCATGTCCTTGTGCTACTATGCTCCCAGGGCTCCTGAGCAAGGCCTTCTCGTGGCAACAGCCTCACTGCCCTGCATCCCAGGCCTAACTCCAGCCTGAGTCCTACTTGTTACTCCCAATTCAACAAGAATCCCAGCCAAGCAAGAAACAAAAAGAGCTATGCTACCTTCCATACCTTCAGGGCTCCCTCTTAAGGGTGGATGGACACTACGAAATCTCAGAAAGCTGCAGACAAATTGTTCAAGCCAAATTTTATCAAGATTTGTTTCCAATGTATACAAAATAGTGATTTTTAAAAAAAGCACCCACACAAGAACTGTTCTAAAGCAGAATATTGACAGTCACCTGGAAATGAGCATGAAGCCAAATTTTATCAATATGAACAATAACCACCAGTTATCCTTTATAGTGAGCGTTTGTTCAAGGCCAACAATGAACATTATGTTGTTTAATGTTTCCATAGACTCAGCATGGTAGGTATTATTATTCCTACTTTACAGTTAAGAAACTGGGGCTCAAAGAAGTTAAATCATTTGTTTATAGCTAACAGAGTCACAATTTGAACCCAAGTCAAAGAGAAGGACCTTGTAAATTCATTCATCATTTAGCACCACCTGTGCACAGCATAAAAGGGCTAATGGGAACTTCTCAGAAAGGATATGGGGAACGAGCTGTACCTAGAGGAGGACATGAGAAGTGGAAGAACTTCATGCTAACTTTTTCATCTTGAGACCACGAGCCCACAACACTACCTAGAGAGAAGTGTGGGAAGAGAGAGAGGGCTGTGCTCTGGGCACTCTCCTCCCTCTCAACACCCCACGCTTCCCGAAACCTCATTCCGCACTCGGCTTTCCTTTCCTACCATGCCTTTCCCTCATCTACAATTCTTAATATTCTCAGGAACAGGCACATCCTTTCTCTTGGATATTGATTGAGGGATATTTAGGTGGGTTAGACAACAAGGAGAAATCGCTAGAAAGACAAGGTAAGTGGGTGGATGGGGCTCACTGGAGAAAAAGAAATTATATATATTTGTACTTGCTCAGAAAAAAATGACTGAGTAAAATAAGTGTGATAATTTGCAGCAGTCATTCTGACCTTCAGAGAAAGAGCAGGATGATTCTACTTTTCTCCCACTCCAAGCCATTTTAAAGCAATCTTAAAAGTGTTCACTTCTACCAGAGAATAGTGAGATGGTATAGAGCTGCTATCTACAAAAAGGGCTGCAGAGCGATCAGTGTACACTTTTTTTTTAAGCGTGGAGTGGTGGACTCTAAGGAAAATTCGGGTGGTTTCTCTTGTTTAACTCATTGTGGACATACACTAGACAGACATACAGGGAAGAGATATGGTAAGGCAAAATTTGATAGGAATAAAATAATAAAATGTGTCATCTTTTTTTAAATGTCTCAGGATTTTATTTCCTGCTGATCTCTGGGGGTGGGGGGTAGGGAGAGCCACAGTGGGGCAGACAGGCAATAACATGAGGTGTGTCCCCAGCAGTGATCCATTCTGAGTGAAGAAAGTAAGTGCAATCATAGCACCTTCTCTTGGAATTAGAAGATTCACTCATGTAGCAAATGAAAAGATGGCCAGCTATGATCAGGAAAAAAATGATGATCGGAACAAAAATGGAGGCTGATAGTTATTCATCTTAGAAGGCTTTCATATCCAATGTCAGGATTTTGTGATCTTCACCACATGCAATGTCTTAATGCCTTTTTTTTTTTTTTTTGGAACAGAGGGGATTTGATTTGTTTTAGCTTATAATTTTTTTTTATTTCAGCATATTACAGGAGTACAAGTGTTTAGGTTACATATGTTGCCTTGTGCAAAGGCTTGAGAGACTTCAAAATTCATTTCTGAGAAACGTACAGGCTCTCCCTGAAGGGCCGTGTATCTATTTTCCAGGTGCTGTAACAAAGTACTACAAACTGGGGGACTTAAAGCAACAGAGAGGTCTCGGCTCATAGGTCTAGAAGCCAGAGTCCTAGATCAAGGGGACAGCAGGGTCTCACTCCCTCCGAAGCCTGTGGGAGAGTAGCTTTCCTTGCCTCTTCCCACCTCCTGGGAAAAGCCATCAGCCCTTGGCATTCCTTGGCTTACAGCTGTATCTCCCCAGTCTCCGCCTCCATCATCACATGACATTTGCCCTGTGTGTTTCTGTCTTCACATGGTGTTTTCTTCTTGTTTTAAGCATGCTAGCCATATTGGATTAGGGCCCATCCTATGACCTCATCCTCACTAGATTACATCCATAATGACCCTATTCCAAATAAGGTCATATTCACAGGTACTAGAGGGTTATACCTTTTGTAGGAAATACAATTCAACCCACAAGAGAATGCCAGCTGCTCATGCTCACATCTTCTATTCATTCCTTCATGCTCCAAGGAGAAAACACCTGTGCCAGGGGTGGCCAACCTGTGACTTTAAGGCCACATGTGACCTTCTAAGTCCTTAAGTGCAGACTTTTGACTGAATCCAAATTCTATAGAACAAATCCTTTTCTTTTTATTAATACATGTTTGTTTGTCTTTCATATTTTTTATTTTTAAAATGAACATATTTAAAATACCAAAGAATAAAATAAGTTTCAATGAAATAATACTCCTAATTGACCAGGCAAATTAGAACATTAGTAAGCCATAAGAACTAAATCAATGGCTGCTATGCTAGTGATTTAGTTCTCACTTCCACTGCCTGACTGGCACCACTACCACAGGAGGCTGGTTGGTGAGAGTTTATAGGGGTTGCGTATACCAGTCTGCTATCAGCTTTTGCCAGTGGTGCATTGTGTTTCTGTTTGAAGTAGAATTTGTGAATAGTTGCACAGCTCAACATTATTTTTAATTCTGTCTGCCTAACAGCCCATCACGTCAAAGAAGACCAAGAGAATGTTGAAGGAAGAAAACAGATTTTTATAATTGCAATATTATCTTGTTTCTCCTAAAGAAAGATGATTTTCTTGCTTTGTGATACTGCAATATCAACATTAAAGAAATTCAATACCCATCAGCATTATAACACTCATTAGCACCACAGGTATTTTAAATTAGAGGGGGAGGCATGAAAGGTTGTATTGCAGAAAATAAAAGATGAAAAGCAAAAGCAAAGACAATTCTTTCAAGCAGCAATAAGACCTGGAAATAACGCCACTGAAGCAACTTATAAAGTAGCTTATATACTTGGGGAGAAACGGGAAGTCATCCAGTGATGTAGAAATTGTGAAAGAATGAATTTCTGTAGTTGTAGGATACTAAACCCCAATAACATTTCAAAATACAAATAACTGCCTCATTCAAGAAGAACCGTATCTGATAGGCAGCATGAATTAGCCTTCAACTTAACAGAAAACAACTTCGTGTAGCACTTCGAAAGAAAAATATATATCATTCAATTGCTTTGGATGAATCAACTTTTATACTTTATTCGGGTCATGACAGAAGATTTTCTTTGCTATGAAGAGTTACTCCCTGTGGGCACTCCTTTTGTGAACAGAGCACAAGAGAATAGCTATCTTGAACAACTTTCAAGATAAATGTCATGAAGTTGGACTGAATTTAGTAAATTTAGTGAGTGTATATACAGATGGTACACCTTCCATGACAGGAAAATATGAAGGGTTTATTGCACAGATAAAAAAAAAGTATTAATAGATCCAAATGCTCTTATTTCTTCTCATTGTATCTTGCATCAGCAAAATTCTATGCTAAAGCTATTATTTTAAGTGACACTTTGCAACAAGTTATAAGTATTGTTAACTATATTCCTGCAAATGCGACAAAGCATTGTCAGTTTCATAACATGCTAAAGTTGAAGGATGAGGTATGCAGTGTGGATTTACCATATCATTCATTCTAAAGTGCGTTGGCTATTTCAGGGACAGGTGTTAGCCAAAATTTTACCTCTGGGAGAACAGATAGTTAAATTTTATGAAGAACAGAATCAGCAATGTGAAATACTGAAGTAAGATTTCTATAGGAATACAGCATTTCTGTGTGATATTGTATCAAATCAAAATGACTTGAATATTTCTTTGCAAAGTAAAATTAAGTTCTATATGTGATATGTAGCCAAAAAAATCTAAGCATTTCAAAAAAAGCTATCATTTTTCAAAATACTTCTTCCTCAAAAGGAAATTTTGGATGAACATTTTCCCCAGTTAGCAAAGGTCACTGATGAGCAGGATGATATATGTGAATCATTTGAAGAATATGGAGCTGTTATAGACCTATTAATTGGAAAATACAATGAAATATTCCCTGACTTTGAGAGTCATGACATCATACTCAAATTAGCATTTCAACTAGTTGATATCACCAAGGCACCTAAAGAACTAAAGATAGAATTGATTGAGCTCTCAGTAGATAACCTTTCAAAGTCATTGTTTGATACTAAGAAAAACCCAATTGAAATATGAAAAAAATGCAGTAGAATACCCATGCCTTCAGCAACATGCCCAAAAAATGCTTTCTTGTTTTTCAACCACTTATTGCTGCAAATCTACATTCTCCTACCTAACCCAAATCAAGATGCCCTTAGGTCACAAATGACTCATGCTCATCTAGAGGATCAACTGCAACTGTAGACCTCCATGCTGCAGCCAAATAATAATCAAATAATAGTCAAATGCTTTCCAACAAAAAGCAGACACAACAAAGTCTTAAAAGGTTATTTAACTTTAAAATTAATAAATAGATTTCCTTTTTTTAAGTTTTTAAGTACACAGTAGATTTTTACAAAATAATGTACATTTTTAGGCAAATTTAATTGAAGTTTCTTGAATGCAACCTTATTTGATTACAGCTAAATTAATGCAGGCTTCCAACACGAAAAGGTTCCCCAACCCTGACCTGGGCTGTACCTGCTACCTCCTTCAAGTAGCACCATATAACAAGG